TTCACTTCTCTTCTTTTCTCAGCTATTTGTAAGGCCTCCTCAGACAACCATTTTGCCTTTTTGCATTTCTTGTTCTTGGGGATGGTCTTGATCACTGCCTCCTGTTACAAGGCCACGAACCTCCATCCGTAGTTCTTCTTTGGAGCCTTGATCTCCTCCATGCTAAAGCAAGGATACAGTGCCTGGAATGCTGGTGGAACTAAGTAAAATGTTCAGGCAGGGCGCAGAGCCCTGGCCCCAACACTGGAAGCGCTTTGTAGCTGTTAGTACTCCATTTGTGTTATGGGTGGTGCTTACGATCAAGGGTGGATGGAAGGCTGCCCTGGTGGCTCAGCAGTGACGAGTCTGCCTGCCAGTGCAGAAGACACAGGTTCAATCCCTGGTCCAGGAAGATGCCACATGAAGTCTGTATGCCACAACTACTGAGCCTGTGCTCTAGAGCCCGGGAGCCAAAACTACCAAGCTCACAGGTCACAAGTACTGAAGCGTGTACACCCTAGAGCCTGTGCACTGCAACTAGAGAGTAGCCCCCACTCCCCACAGCTAGAGAAAAGTTCGCACAGCAATGAAGGCCCAGCACGGCTCGAAATAAATGAAATTATTCTTTAAAAAGGTGGTTGGAAAGTCACTGAAGGAGTTAGGGGTTGCAAAGAAGGAGCACCCAGCCTCCTCTGACCCTAGGTTAGCTCCACACTCTTCATCAAAGTCCCAGACATCATCCAGGCACACCGAGTCCCAGCCATGGTATTCCAGGATGCAGACATCATAGCAGCAACCGAAGACTTCTATTTTCATCAGAATAGAAGGTAAGGGGGTCAGAAAAAAGCAGGTGTCCTCCCCTGACCCAAATCCTGCTGGAGCACTCAGAGGTGGTCTTCTATCCCCACCCCAGCCAGGCCGGCTTTGCCAGGACCCCTTGGGAAAGAAGCCTAGCCCCCAGGTTGCTGACGTGCATGCAGGACATGCTCATGGAGAGAACAGATTGAGAAGGGCTTCTGGAAGTCTCTGGCACAGATGCTGACGCAGAAGGGAGACTCTTCCCTGTGCTCCATCATCCCACCCCTCCCAGCAAGCTAAGGAGCGGGGCAAGAAATCTGAGACTGATCAGACCTGTCCATTTGAGTCCAGCAAAGTCTGACACCTCCTCTTCTAACCCACGCAATTGAGGCTGTGACTCTGAAGGCCAACGAGGAGGCATAGTTAATAAAGCCCATGTGTGGAGGTTTGCACCACCCCCAGCTACGAGCATTTGTCATCTGACTGTGGAAAGCACAGATGAGTTTTGCACAGATGACAAAACAAATGCATAATAAATCTGTGTTTGTGTGTTTCTAGGCTTGTGTGTTTGTGTGTGTGTCCATGCATGTGTGTGAGTGTGGGCCTGTGTGTGTTGGGATAAAGAGGGTGAAGCGATAGGAAATGTACACATTTTCATTTGATTTCACTTGCTGATCATTATTAAAAAAATGAGGATGGGACTTAGAGAAATAGGACAAAGGCATTACAAGGAGGCTTTTTCCTGTTGGTTGTTATTCTTGTTCAGTCACTGAGTCGTGTCTGACTCTCTGTGACCCCATGGACTGTAGCCCACCAGGCTCCTCTGTCCATGGGATTTCCCAGGCAAGACTACTAGAGTGGGTTGCCATTTCCTTCTCCAGGTTTCCTGTTGGAGCCTCCTGCTTTTCCTCATGCCATAAGTAACCCCCCAAAAGAGTCTCCAACAGCATCTCTTAAAATGGTTTCAGTTCTTACACACATAAACACACACACACACAAAGATTTAAGTAACATTTCTAATTTGGGAGGGGTATTGTTTCTCCAGCCTTTTATCTTTGACCTTCTCATAGAAATAAACTCTGGGAAACCCTGGTTGCAAGATCCCCCTGGACAATCAAGTCAGACATCTTTCAGATCCTGCCTAATATCTCAGAGAAGTCAATCAACAGATATATGTTAAACACCCACTATGTGTAGTATCTTATATGAGATTTTCCAGAAGATACAGGAAGGTCTGAGATGGTTTTGCCTATAATGACCATCAATCGCAAAGCTCTATTGATAGAGTCTGCTAAATGTCTCTGGTCTGCCAGTTCCTCTCTGTCCCCACTGCCTCATCATCTTTTTCCCAAATCTCCAATAAGTCAGCTCAAGTGCCAGGTCCTCCAAGACACCCTTCTTGATCCAACTCCTAGCTTGTCTCAGTGCCCTTCCTCTGTGTCCCCAGAGACTTCACGTTTACATTTTTGTACCACTTACCTTATGTTATTAAAACACTCTGTGTGTGTGTTTGGAGGTGTGCTCTGTCGCCTCTGACTCTCTGTGACCCCATGGACTGTAGCCCACCAGGCTCCTCTGTCCATGGGATTCCCCAGGCAAGAATACTGGGGTGACGTGCCATTTTCTTCACCAGGGGATCCTCCCTACCCAGGGATTGAACCCGCGTCTCTTATGTCTCCTGCATTGGCACGCAGATTCTTTACCACTACCTCACCTGAAAAGCCCACTAAAACATTGTCCTTTCAGATCTGCCTCTGACATGAAACCAATTGTAACCTCTAACGGGGCTTCACAACCCTTTAGCGTAGGACACGCTGCCTGCCACTGAGTAGACGCTCCAAAGGCATTTGCTTCCCAGAGTTTAGACTCCATCACAGCAAGCTTCATCTGTGGTACATTTACCTGTGTATCTGGCCATTTCACCTGGCAGATAGTGGACCCTTTAAGGACAAGACCTGGATTCATCTTGAAATCCCCAGCGCTGAGTACAGTGGTTGGTACCTAGTGATGAGCAAATGAAAGAAAGAGTGAATTACATGTGAATGAATACATCTCTAAATTCCTTCTGATTTCTCCGGGGCTGTTTCTAATTCTAAAATAAGAGTCGATGTGTACCACATGAGCGCACAGACAATAAATGCTATTACATCTCTCAGGAGGGGAAGATCGCTTTCAGCTAGAATGGTTGGGAAAGATTTTAAAGAGAAAATGTGATTTCAACTGAGACTGGAGAAGGCACAGTATTTGAATATGTTGATGGAGAGGGAGGACCTTCCAGGAGGAAGGAAGGGGGCAGAGCTAAAAAAGAGCAACCCCTCTGGCCACTGGGTTCCTTGTCTGTATCTGATCTGTATGGAAAAAGGAGAAGTAAAGTTGGCTTTTTTCCTCTCTTCCTCTGCATCCACTTCAGAATTCTCAGAGCAAGCGTGTTATCTGATTCACTCTTCACACATGATGCTTCATAATGAAAGATTTGGGGGTATAGGCGGCAGAGTCATAAGGTGACCAATTGTTCCAGTTCGTCAGGGAATAATGATTTTCTCAGACTCTTGAGAGTCCCTTGGACAGCAAGGAGATCAAACCAGTCAATCCTAAGGGAAATCAGTGCTGAATATTCATTGGAAGGAGTGATGCTAAAGCTGAAGCTCGGATGCTTTGGCCACCTGATGGGAAGAATCGACTCACTGGAAAAGACCCTGATGCTGGTAAAGACTGAAGGCAGGAGGAGAAGGGGGTGACAGAGGATGAGGTGGTTGGATGGCATCACAGAATCAGCGGACATGAGTTTGAGCAAAGTCCAGAAAATGGTGAAGGACAGGGGAGCCTGGTGTGCTGCAGTCCATGGGGTCGCAAAGAGCCAGACATGACTTAGTGATTAGCACTTTCACTTTCATCAGCTCTCTCAGGCTGCAGGGCTCAGCACACCTTAGACTACTGAAGCCCCATGACTCCCCAGACATGCTATCAGACTCAGTGAGAAGCCAGTAAGCATTCATAAGGATCCCTACTTGGGTGGGGCCAGAGCCCAGGGGTGGCAGAGGATGGCCAGCTGGTTTCACAGACTCATTGGAAGCCTTGGCCCCAGCGGGCCAGTAGACCCCAAGCCACTCTCGCTACATCACACTGAGATTTGGGGGAAGGGATGAGGTGAAACGGGAAGAATTCCAATTCATGTCCAGGAAAAAAGAGAATTTATGGATAAAACAAAGTCAGCTAACTGTATTTTTCCCATTTTTATTTTTTAATTTTCAAGCCTACTGAAGGTTGAAAGTATAATACGAATGAAAACACATATACCTTTCCTTGAACTTGCTTTTCCAATTGCTTACATTTTGCTCTATTTGCTCGAGATTGCTCTCAATGTTTTTGCTAAACTGTTTGAAAATTAGTTATAGGTATCTTGAAATTCAATGTCTGAAATACTTCAGCATGCATCGCCTAAGAACTAGGTATTATCCTACATAAGCACAATGCTTTTTTCACTCCCAAGACACTTAACCTCCCAAGACACTGATACAATATTACCTAATGTGTGTGGGTGTGCGCTCAGTTGCTCCATCGACTCTTTGTGACCCCATGGACTGTAGCCCACCAGGCTCCTTCGTCCATGGGATTTCCCAGGCAAGAATACTGGAGTGGGTTGCCATTCCCTTACCCAGGGGATCTTTCCCACCAAGGGACTGAGCCCACATCTCTTGCATTGGCAGGTAGATTCTTTACCACTGCATCACCTGGGAAGCCCTTTATTATCTAATTTATTGCCCATATAAAATTGTTCCCAATTGTCTTAGTAATGTGCTGATTCAAGACCCAATTAAAAATCATTTACTTTTTTTTCTTGTTTTGGTCTTTTAAGACAGATAGTTTTGGAGTACAGGCTAATGTGGAATATCTCATAATCTAAATTTGAGTGTTTGTTTCTTCACTATCAAGTTCAGATTAGACATTTTTGGAAGAAGTACTACATAGGTGATATATCCTTCTAATCTCAGCATGTCAGGAAGCTCATAGTGTCATTTTGTTTCAACCTTGATAATGATATCAGAATTCTCCACCATAAAATCTCATTTGTAGATAATAAATAATCCATGGGGTAAGTCCGTGTGAATATCTAATGGAATTTTAGATGAAATTTTCTTTCTTTTTTTTTTAGATGAAATTTTCTAATGGAACTTATTCAATGGATTTACCATTCAGTGATGCCCTTTGTCCAAATAAATCATTGTACTAATACTTACCAGCGGTGAGTTTTCTAATTCTATCATTTTTTCTCCATATATAGGTTAGCATTCTTCTGTAAAGAACAGTATGTCATCACACATGCATATACACGCTTATTTGTTAACCTTTTACCCTGAAATAATTAAAGACCCATAAGAAATTGCATACAAAAAAATATTACAAACAGGCTCAGGGTACCCAAGTCGAACTTCCACTCAAAGATAAGATCCTACATAGTACATTATCAAATCCAGGAAATCGACATTGGTACATGGTGATTAGCAAGACTATAGATTTTATATTTTTATAGTCATGTTAATTTTTTTTGGGGGGGGGTTGAGCGAGAGTGGTATGTTTTTCTGGTTTGGTGCCAGGGTTCTGCTGACTTCAAAAAATAAGTTAGAAGTGTTTACTACTCTTTTTTTGAAAAAGATTGCATAATATTGACACTATTTCTTCAATAAATGACTGAAATAAAGTATACAGACTTTACATGGATTTCACTTTTAAATTTTTTTTTCAATTTTATTCTAATTGTTTAACGTCTCTTTGAACTCATTTTTTTTCCCCCAACTGTGTTACTATCTACTACCATCACTATTCTTTTTGATGCTCAAAATGTCTCACATTTAGCTAGTGAGCACCCCTTCAAGCCAGCTCGTGTATCTTGTTGATAAGTTACCATCAGTTTCTGAGCTATCCTTTGATTTCTGTTACAAGGTGTCCAAGGTTCCAGATCTATATTTAGCCATTTCTCCAAGGAACTTGGCTCTTTCTTTTTTTTCCCTTTGAAACTTTGATCCTGATTCCAAGCCCTGGTTTCTTTTGGTGGGGAAGCTGATTTAAGTATAAGATCTAGGCACTAGGTATGCTAATTGCTACTGGATTTTAATATCCTTCCAGTGAACAAATGTGAGTTCTTATTGATTCCCCTTATTTAAATCCAGTGTCCCACAACTCTTCCTCATAGCTCAGATGGTAAACAATCTGCCTGCATTGCAGGAGACCCGGGTTTGATCCCTGCATCAGGAAGATCCCCTGGAGAAAGAAATGGCAATCCACTGCAGTATTCTTGCCTGGAGAATTCCATGGACAGAGGAGCCTGGCGGGCTACAGTCCACGGGGTCACAAAGAGCAGGAGACGACTGAGCGACTGAGCACATTAGGATATACATTTGGAACACTGGGCTCAAGAGTTTGTGAGTTAATTATTTATTCTCTGCATGGTTGTATTATCAATTTGATATGTGGTTGGCTTCCAGTTTTAAGATTTGCTTTGTAGGTTACTGACTTAATTTTATTTTAAACTATATGAGACACTTACACAATTTATAAGTCAAAACTATATGAAAAAGGTATATTCATAGAAATCTCACTATTATCCATAATGATTCCTTCCCCCTGTCCCGTGCCTTGTCGTAATCACTTTCCTTAGTTTGTGGTTCATGCTTCTTGCATTTCTTTTGGCAAAAGCAAGCAAATAAGTTTGTTTTCTTGTCTCTTTTTTTAAAGGTAACTATATACTCTTTCACACCTTACATTTTGCTCTTAACAACAGATCCTGAAAAATCATTGCATATCAGTTCCTAGAGAGCGTCTTCATTATTTTTTACATTGTGTATACTGTCCTGTGTGTGCTATTCAATGTATCTACTATAGCAGGCATTTCAGTTGATTCCAGTGTTTTCTTACAATAAATAGCATCACAGTAAATAACTTTATCACAAGGGTTTATATTTGTGAAGTGTATTGCAGGATAAATCCCAACAAGAATAATTGCTGGCTCAAAAGGTAAATGCCTAGTTTTGTTCAATATGCTGGAATCTTCTCCGTGGAGACTCGCCACCTTACTCTTATATCAGCAATTTGTGAGAGTATCTATTTCCTTGCTCAAAGTGTCTATCGTCAACTTTTTCAATTCTGCTGCTCTGATAGGTTAAAAATATAGCAGCAGAATGTAGTTTTATTTTTCATTTCTCCCATTAAGAGTAAGTTTCAGCAGTTTTATACATATTTGAAGACTATTTGTGTCTATTTTTCTCTGAAGTGTCTGTTTCTCCTGCTCATGTTTCTTTAAGATTTTGGACTTTCATTTCTTGATTTTTGAATGTTCTTTATATATGAGGAAGCTATCAGCTCTTTATCTATGATGTATATTAAATAGACTTTTTCCAAGTTTGTTGCTTATCTTTTGACTTTCTGATCTTTTTGCCACGAAAGAATTTTGTTTTAATATTTTGACCACATTTTTCTTNCTAATGGTTAGAAATGCAGAGTTTCTAAATATACATGTTTTGCTTATTTTTAAGAAATACATGTAAATGACAAATATATTTTCAAAGAAATACACACTAATGACAAAAATTCAAATAGTACAAAAAGTTGAACAGTGAAAGGTAAAAAGCATCCTCTTAAGATAGCAGCAGGTCTTCCCTGATAGCTCAGTTGGTAAAGAATCTGCCTGCAAAGCAGGAGACCCTGGTTCAATTCCTGGGCCAGGAAGATCTGCTGGAGACGAGATAGGCTACCCATTCCAGTATTCCTGGGCTTCCCTTGTGGCTCAGCTGGTAAACAATCTGCCTATAATGCGGGAGACCTGTGTTGGGAAGATCCTCTGGAGAAGGGAAAAGCTACCCACTCCAGTATTCTGGCCTGGAGAATTCCATGGACTGTATAGTCCATGGGGTCGCAAAGAGTCAGACACAATGGAGTGACTTTCACTTTCACTTTTAGATAGCAGTCACCACTGTTGCCAGTTTCTTATGTATCTGTCCACATAT